GCTTCTTATGGGAAGAAAAGACCAGGTATGTTGAGGACATCCTCTTTCAAAGAAGCCTGATGAACAGGAGATCGAAAGAGGGAAGAGACAGCGATACTTTAGCGTACTGCGTGAGCAGACTTGGATATTCAACGATGACATCAAAAAGATGACGCGTGGACTTAAGACAACTGTTTAACTGCAGAAAGAGACCTCGCTAAGGAGCGGCTCATGAGAAACAAATTGAAGGCGGCTGCAGTGAGAGGAGTCAGAGGTGGAATCGGCCAAAAAATATACCCAAATCGTTCACCTGAGATGTAGGGTATGAAATTAAAGGCTATTGGTATAAGTAGGCAAGATAGAGGTCACCAGTGTATGTGCGTAGGTGCTGTGTTTTTCGTATTTGTGTCTGAAGAGGAAGTGACTGGTGATAAGCTTGATCATGGGGAATACCAGCCAACGCACACACACACATGAACATCTCAGTACCCTATGATTAAATAGGAATATCAATCAGAGACAAGAAGGGTGTGCTTTTCGCAATTCCAAGGATCATAGGGAATTAGGGCATCCTCACACCAGCGGTTATGCCATAAGCCGGACACAGGGCCCCAAAGAATGAGACAAAATGTGGGTGGGGATGAGGGAGAGGATAATCGAGGTATGGGTTTGAAGCCTAGGGAGAGGAAGATTCCCAGGCACTGGTATACCCATGCACATCCTCGAATATGGCGTAAACGAGGACGGGAATTGAAGGCTCTTGGGCAACCAGATTTCAGACAGCCGAGCAGTGATTTTGAGGTTTAGCAGCGACTAATTGACAAGCGAATAGGTAAAAAAGGGGAGGCAGAATGTAACTCAGGAGCCCTGCAAACGACCTCTGTTACTGGTTGTGGAGATGATTACGCTCCACTTAACCCACTTGTAGCTACACACTCTTAGGTGACATCGGAGGAAGTGAGAGCACAGAATTATGTGAATCACTAGATGGGCTATATAAGTGGGGTTGAGAGAAAGAGATGCGGCACTGGAAGGTAGAAGAAAAAATAGGGGCGAGGAGTGATGCCACAACGATTTAACAGAAAATCGGTCAAGGAGATTGCTTTCACTTGTTACTTTGATAAGTTGTAACTCTGTTCTTATAATGGCGCCTCTCAATGACGATGCCGGCGAAAAGTTTGAGAATGTACCAAGCCAATGGCACAATGCAGGAAATCACGAATACTATGGCAGAGGACACGGGACTAGGTACGTTCCACAAAGCCTCCTTAACGCTCCGACCAAGTTGCGAAAACAAAGTCGAACTAAAACTATTAAAATCATAATTTTACTCACCAAACTTTCACAATGAAAGTTATTTTAGAAAAATGCAAGAGTCCTTATATGCACGAACTACAATGTAAACCCATGGATCTCTGCAGTGCGAAGATAAAATAAAAGATACAGTAGCATTCACAATTCTTCATACGGTTACAATAGAGTAGCCTAGATTAGAATTAGTTAAGATATGTTTAAAACTCCCGATTATAAATATATTAGGTAAAAAATTCCGTTTGTATACCAATCTGTGAAAATTTCACCTGATGAGACCTCCCGGTACGACGTATCCTCATCGATCCGGCTAAAGGAGATACTTCTGATTGACAGCTGGAAACTGTAGGTTCGGGTACGGCGGTGGCTTCGTTCTGCGTGGAAAATTCAAGTAGTTTTGGTACTGAGATTGAGGGTAATGATGACGGGTATGCTGAAGAAGAAGACGCAAAGACGGCACGGCTCTCTGCGCTACTCACAAGTAAGGAAGGCCATAGCAATGGGTCTTCCTCCTCATCCATTCGGCGTGAAGTGGTTGCCTGGCCAGTGTTCGATTTGAAAACTACCTTCTCATTGCCAGAGGACGAAGAAACCCCACCTCCAGAAAGATGTCGGGCCCGTAGGGAATGATCACCATCAGCACTTTGATGGCTATTCAGAGCCAAAATATAAGGACAAATTATAAGAAGTTGAATAAGATAAGAGGCTAGGAAGAGATGACCTGTAACCATGATAACAATATGATAAGAATACCTGCCTACGAGC